ATGCAAGACGGCTTTAAAAATGACTTTTTATTAAGTAATATTTCTCAGCATCATTTTATCACTTTCGAAAAAATTGCAAGACGCTGGAGATTTTTTACTTTGCAGTAAATAGCATAATACAATGTACCTGCAATAAGCCCTGTGTTGTCGACTGTTCCAGTGACGTCTCGAATGGCGTACATTTCCTTGTCGGCGGGAACAAGATTGTCTGTCTGACCCACGATGCAGCAGCCGACTTTAGTCAAAATCTCCATTTTATCCTTAGTAGCAGAGACGGACAGCCCCTCAATGGACTCTAGCTTGTCGAGTGTCCCGCCAGTGTGAGCCAGACCACGCCCTGAGACCATGGGAACCTGAAAAATACAACTACCTAATTTTGTTAAAATGATTTTTTTTGTAATAAAGTTTGCACCATATTAAAGTAAATCATTTATTAAATATGTATAGTTTTCGTTCCTCGTAATATTTTTTTAAGAATTCTTTTATTGATAACTATATTTCTTCTTTTAATTTTCTCTTACCTTCATTCCACAGGCAGCCAGTGGAATAAGTTTTCTTCCTGATCAGGAGGCCCGGATTCGATTCTCATTTGCAGCGCCGCGTTAAACCTACGTTAGACGTAAACAAAGGTAGTGACTGTTCCTTCGCTAAACGCTCATTATTAGAAGTGAAAGTCACGGTTCTTTCGGAAATGAAGTAGGTACTGTGTCATGGTAGGCGCTGACACGATTAAGAACCCTCACTGCTCAATAGCCCTGAGTGCCAAGTATAGGTGAAAATTTTAAGCCCTTCGCCGGCATAAGGTAACGTATCCTTATGAGAAAACAATTCTCGAGTTGGACATTAAACAACATACAATCAATCAATAAGGATATGGAGTTAACGCACAGTATTCAATCTCAAAGTCCATTAAACAATACAAAATAGGAGCAGAGCAAACACGGAAGTCTAAAACATCAGAGGTGGGATCAGGTTCCATGGAGGAGTGAGCTTCCCCTGCCGACCGGTCACACCCGCCGTGTGCTCCCTGTCATGATCAGGAAATAACGGAAAAATTCCGGCGTCACTTCAGTGTATAAATAATGGTCTAACAATTGGTATGAAAAACGTTAGTCAGCATTTGACTCAATGATAAATTGTATTTGCTGACAAGGTCATTGTATCGACCATAATACTTACGAAATGATGACTTTAAACGAGACTGCTGATATTCTTGTTTCGTCAACTTACCTGTCAATAATTTACCTCGTTTTAGAAATTGTTCCTATGTATCTAGCATGCTCTTGCGTATCGAATTAACTGAGATATATATACTCCGTATGCAGGTGATGAAGGTATATTACTGCATAAGTAGGGGAAGTTGACGATAGAAAAGTTAAAGTCATCACGTTTATCATAAAGCTTGGTTGTTAGATTACCATTAGGGTCTTTTTAAAGTAAAATATCCAAATGTCGGACTCTGTGGTATCTTTTATCTCAAGCTCACCAGGATATATCGTATCGACGTAGGAATGGAAATTACCATTATTAATTGACAATACGTCGTCAATATATCTAAATGTCGAGTTGAAGGCCACAGCAAATGTTTTCTTCTTTTCACGCATTAATTTTTGCATAAATTTTGCTTCATATGAATATAAAAATAAGTCTGTTAATAACGGAGCGCAATTTGTACCCATGGGAATTCCAGTAGATTGTTGGAATACCTGGTCTCCAAAAACCACATAGATATTGTCAATCAGAAACTCAAGCATCTTCTTGATGTCAACGTCAGAGTACCTATGTGTGCAATAAGAATCTGTTTTAACAAAATAATTTTGCAAATGACCAATGACGAGGTAAGTAAATTTACGAGTTCCATTTTTATTGAAGAAGCAGCTGTCAATGATATCAAAAAGCCTGGATTTCAATTTTTCGTGGGGAATTGTTGTGTATAAAGTTAAAAAGTCGTAAGTTTTTAAGCTGTTGATTTTTGTAAAGTCTTGTGATTTCAAATTGTCCAAAAGTTCTTCAGAATTTTTAGTATCCACATCTGATTCACACCACTTCTTGAATATATAGTTGCACAGTACTCTTTAAGTTTTTTCTTCACTACTGTCAATATCATAGTGAGGAGTAACGAAAGAGGCTTGGTTGAACATTTATCGGAACTTGCAATGTATCTTTGTTTGTAAGGATTCTTATGAAGTTTCGGAATCCAATATATAGAAGGTAGTTCGAATTCATTTTGGCTCTGTGGAATATTAAAAGTATTCAAAACTGACAGGTGATTTTGAAGAATTTCTTCCTTAGAAAGGGAAGTATGAGTATAAGTGGGATTACCACTTGTAGAATTAAATCCAAGTTCTTCTAGAGTATAATTTATGTAATAAGCCTTACAAACCATGACAAAGTTGTTACCTGTTTTGTCAGCAAGGACCAGAACGTACTTATCATGTAATCTATCTAATTATTTTTTTCACTTCTGGACTATTGATTGATTGATTGTATGTTGTTTAACGTCCCTCCCGAGAATTTTTCACTCATATGGAGACGCCACCACTTGCCGGTGGAGGGCTACAAATTTTGTCCTATGCTCGGCACTCAGGGCCTTTGAGCAGTGAGTATCTTTTACGTGCCAGCACCTACTGCGACACGGGGCCTCGGTTTATACGGTCTCATCCGAAGGACCGGTCTCCACGTCCCGCAGTGGGATGCGAACCAGCGACGTAAGGATTGACTCCTTACTTCGCGACTCTAGAGCAGACGCTCTAACCACTGCGTCACGCGGGCGACCTGGACTATTGAATACAGAAGGATAATTGGTTTTCAAACTTTTAATACGCGATAATTAACATGGATCCGATACATTTAATCCATTCTGACAAACTCTCAACATCTTTTCATATCGTCTGGTGTAATCTACAACATCATTCATTATATTTATGAAATTCCGACGCCAGTTGAAGGATTGGGGCTCCCTATATTTAGGACATTTTAAAATTAGTTAAAATAAAATATAAAATATAAAAGAAATTGCTCTACTCTAGCGCAAGACTTCAACTGGGAAACATGGCTCTTGAGCGGGCCTTCCCCCGTGGGGTTAGTATCACTCTAGACAATACCTTGCTGAGGATGGGGGTAAGGCTCGAAGGCAAGGGATACCCCTTAAGTAGACTTACACTTTTTGATAAGTTTTAGTGGAAAGTATGAGTTATATTTCCTCCCTAGTCTTCAATCAAGATAAGCCTTACTGTGGGGGAGGTTTAGCTTTGAAATATCAACACTATTGGTAGACAGGTGAAAATTCGTTGATAATTTCCATTTCTTACAATATTCCTTTGATTGTTTTTCTTCATCGGTACTCTTTTGTGATTGCACGTCGGTATATTTTTATTTATGCATTTCTGCTCTTCTCTGTCTGAAATTTGGATATCTCTATGTTTGGTTTATTAAGTGCAGCATCAGGATAAAAAAAATGATTCTCCTTTCTGTGTCCGGAAATAGTATTTTCCATTGTGTTTCCTGCAATGATTTCTTTGTGTGTTATACCACTTCTTACTCGCAATTTTTCTCAAAATAATAAAGGTAATCTTCTTTTCCTTTACAAGAACTTAAGGTATACCTTTACTCAGGATGACTAAACATTCCACTAAGAACGCAAGACCACCTATTGCAATTTGTACACCTATAATTCTGGAGTTAAATTTCAATCTCAAATTTCAATGACCTACTTTTCATGCTAGTGGCCCCTGAGTATTTCGGCGGAAAAACCTCAACTTTTCACACTGTGACCAATTTTTTCTTCACACATAAAATAGTAAAAGTAACAAAACTTTTTAAATAATGTAATATGATAGCAATGGAACAGCGTTGCTTCATATAACGAAACGATTAGAGTTTTGGCCAAAAACTTGATAATTATTACAGTCCGAATTTCCTCTGTCATATTTTTATTTTTCTTCCATTTTCAATCGAATTTTACAAAATTTTGAATGATAAGAACTCTAAATTATTTATAACCTCATGTTACTTTTGTTGCCCTTATTCTCGTGGTATTATCATTATATGGGGACAATGATCAAATTATTGAGATATGTTATCTAGAATGCTTTTTGTTCATATTTTTGAATTTCTTTATTTCATAGCAATCAATTTTTTAAAATTATTTATGAGCTTAAATACATATAATATTTGTAAAATGAGGTTTAAAAAATACATATAGCCTTTACATTGTGATTGATATTGCAAGAACTAAAAGATTTTAACAAAAATGAAAATTAAACAATTTTGTCCGAATTTCCTCTGCATTACGATACATTGACTTTTGATGCCGTATATTTTCTTCTAATAATAAAATATTAAATTTTTAAAGTGATATTGAGTTAAAACTTAGTTATTTTATCCATTTAGAGAAATTTTTGATTTAAAATATTAAACTTTTTAAAATTTCCTTTCTGTTTTCTGAAACCTGAGTAAACGTCATCCTTAAGGTGAAATATGCCTCTGCTCCAAATTTTACCAATTGTTTTTTAATTCCCAACATTGATGTTCACCATGAACAATAGCATTAGACTCTCATTATAAAAAAGTGTGAAGTATCAAGCGTTGCTGGCATTTTCAGAAATGAATAATATGCCTAATCATAATATGAAGACTATTTGCAAGAAAGATCAACATATTTTTTTTTATCTCTCAATAAAATTAATAATGATGCATATATGAAAATAAAATTTACCATAATACCTGTCTAATTCACATTTCACTTTAGTTTTTCCACATGTTTAGTCAAAGCTAGGTAAACAGATTAAAAAGTATCATTTTACAACAGACATGCTATAGTACATATACATGAAAATGATCAAATGAAGATACATAAGAAGGGGTTAATGCCCTTAGCAGCACTTTCGAAAGATTAAATAATCGTTTTACAAAAGAATTTATTCAATTTTTAAAAATTATTTTGCTAAACAATATTTTTCTTAATACCTACTGGAAAATAATCTTTTAAAAGATATATTTCTATTTGGGTATGAATTTGAATTAACATTGTTTGCAAAAAAAAAACAAAACCCTATTACATCACAGGATTAATTTTAAGTTAATATATCAAAACAAGCAGTGGCATTGTCTTTTTCTTCACTGTATTACATTGATTATTTACAAAGTCAATTACGTACATGCATTGTCATAAAATGAGCATCCATACTCATGAACAATAAATGCGTTTAATATAAATAATTATCTTAATTTTGCTATGAAAAACATTTAAATAAGATATACCAAGCATACACGTATATACATTGTATACTGTATCTTTCCAGATAAGTAACTTACGTGACTGCTTTAATGAACATGCAGTTATTGAGTATATTCCCCAATTTTGATACTCTACTCCATCGAAACAAAACCCGGTACCAGACGTGCACGTATACAAGTATATAAATATATAATAATATAAAAAAAAAAAATAACAGGCAAAGATCAAAATAGACCTTCCAATATTTGACAATCATTGACTGTGTTATCTAAATATCAACACTTTCTTCGAAACTGACAGATATATATTCTTGTTTCATATAAATTTCATCCAAAGCAAGATATTGATTAAGTTAATTTACAAACACATGTACAGTAAATATTAGGGATGGCAATTTGTAACCGGTTAATCGATTTATCGGTCGGAACGATGCTAATCGGTTAGAAAATCCGTAATCGTTAGTTGGAAAAATTAAAATATATGTAAATTTGAGCGCAGTTTCCTTAAAATTTCTTCTGGTCCTTTTTTTTTAGGAAGGAAAGCGCTGCATAGATTTGTGTGTGTGTGTGTGTGTTTTTACACATCTTATAATTAAGAATATTTGGAGGTAATTATAGCTTTCCAGATTGAGATCGCAGGGTAATTGGTCAATTCGTAAAGTGCATGTTAATTACTGTTTTTATAACATCATGCCATTACCCAGTTAGTCCTGTGGATTTTTTAATAATATTAAAAACACCACCATAAGTCACTTTTAATTATCTGTATTTCTTTTAGCAACTGCCACACTTTAATTTTTAATTTACCTTGTGGGACTAAATACAAAATTTGCTTTAAATTTATATTTACCCCAACAAAATAAATTTAAAATTAAGAATCATGACATACGTATTAAGAAAAACTTAATATCATTTCTTGTTATATGAAACACATTTAATTTATGTAATAATTTTGTGTTATGTTCAGTAACAGTGCATGTACCTATCAGTATTCCATCAATGTGTAGAGAATTTTCCTGGTAGACAAAAGTACATTTGTTTGAATCTTTTTTTTCTTTTTTGAAATTTTGATGTGTATATTTTTTTCATAGAAAAACAAAGGGACGGCAACTGTACGGCCAGTAGTGCGATGATTTTTACCTGAGATAGATCTTTCCACTTTATATCAAAGTCTTCTTCTTCCATGACGCTATTTGTCGGTGTCTTGTGCTCCACTTCATTCCTATACAATCTTATCCTTTCCATGTCATCAGTCTTACGTTTTTGTGCTATGTGAGGTTTCTTTCCCCATCCATTACTAGGCTCGGGGAGATTTGGCCCATAATTCCTCAACAATTTGTACATAATAGTCACATCAAACGTAGAAGACGACGGTGTGGATTTGTCTGCTGTAAGGTATTATAAAACACCATAAACTGAATTCTGAAACTAGGACACAATTATTTCAAGAGGCTATTACACCACTTTTTGATTATGTAGTTCATAAAAATTACCTCCATTGTTTCGTCCGTTTTTCTTGGGGGACGAATTGTACATTTGTATAGGTTCACTATTTTAATGATCTAATTCTTTTAATTATGAAATAAAAAAGTTATGAACGTGAGAGAGAGAGAGGGGATCTTCCTACTTAACCAATATCGATATAATGAACTTAATGAATAAGGATATCAGAGGCATGTTACATAAACATTACCCTGCAGAAATTTTATGCTTATCCAGAATGGGGAATACACAGCATATTATTCCTTTGGGCTGAAATTTGAATTTTGTAATCAATAGATATTTAAATGTGCCTTTGGGTTTTACAATGGTGATTACTACCTTTCGGCCCTATTTATTTATCACACGAATCCCTAAATATTTGTCAATTTTTTTGCAATTACATGATTATAAATGTTCCGTAAAGTGAGTTTTCGAAACAGTGAAATGCTTGTGTTTTTTTCTATACGGATGTAACGGTTGGAATATTGCTGGAAAAATAGCATCACCCGCGAAATTTTGTCTGCAATGATTGCAATCGGTTCACGTAATACGTAATACATTTTATCATATATATGGAAGAATGATTTACTTATCTATTTTATGTGAAGTTTCAGATTTGATTTAGAAACTGACCCGACTAGTTTTGAATAAAGTCATTGCGTCAGATAAACAACAATATGACTTTCACAAGATTTAAAGAACATTAATAAGTCACTGTAATTAGAAAGAACTTATCATTTTCATCTTACTAATTTTTAATACAACTTTAGGTAAAATTTCAAGTATCTCTCCAATTGAATAACGGTGATTTTTTCAAAAATTTTCTGACATCAAAGTATGACGTTGAACCGACATCGTTATAAAATTCACAAAATTCTATTTCACGTGGAAGCGATAAATGGTTTACTATGAGAGAGAGAGAGAGAGAGAGAGAGAGAGAGAGAGAGAAAGAGAGATTTGAAGCTTTTAATAGTAAGATACCTGGATAGAGTTGTTCACATTGTTCTTCGCTTAGTTTGAACTGTCCTTTTTGTATGTCCTCTTTGTTTTCTAACAACAATTTGTCCACTGAGGGAAATATCTCATCAAAATAGATCTGTAGAGCCTCTCGTCCAATCTTTGTAAGTTTCTTGAAGGTCTTAGAATTCCTTTCAATTCAGTCTCAGATAGAAGTATATCTTTATTCCCATCCGATGATTCATTTAAATCTATAGTGGGAAAACAACATGATAATATCTAATATTAAAACTTTATTAATATAAAACCTGGCGACAATTAGTAATGTATATAAAATCTTACCTCCAACATCACCCTGTACATCCTTTAAATAGAAAATTCAAATAAACAGTCAATAATTTCGTTAATTGATCTTTGAAATAGAAAGATATTCACGTCTAAAGATTGTTTTTAGACTTTACTAAAAACTTAAATAATACGTAGTGGTAATTTTCTTTTTAAAAGTTTGTCATTTTTACCTTCTTCCAGTAAAATAGAAAAACTGATTCACAGAGGATGTGATGATGGACCAAACCATGTTTAGGACACTTGATTTCCTTTTTCTTGTAAATTTGTGTTTCCTCAACAAAATTACTATCATACTCATGAAAAACGTCCTGTTCCGAACACTGATACCCATCAGTAAACATTTCAATAGCTTTGTGATAGTTACTGAGGATATCTTTTAAATGGTGTTCAATAGTATCGCGGACTTCCAGCGTAACACTCTTTGTGATGGGCGTTTTTCTGGGTTGAAAAACCTGAAGCTGAATGGAAGACTTGATTACTACTAATACAACTGTATGTTCTTTATACTCAAAGCAAGCCACATTTTTGTACAAACAAAGTCCATTGTTTTCTGAAAGCGTCCATCCTCTATTACGTATTTGCAAACAAGCTACGACCAAACGAAAGTAGAAGAAATATGGCAAAAAATTAAATCTGAACACGAGTACCGACGTTTTATGTTTCAATGATTGAAAGTACACCTCTTCTGCCCTTCCAAACGTGCGCTTGTTCATACATGGAATATAGTGTCTGTCTGTACTAACAGCAATCAGACCAAGACGCTGCATGTATTGGAGAAGATTGGCTTTTTCCTTATGCCTGCTAAGGAGACTAGTATCAATATCGAAATGCTTGCTGCTCCAAATACTGGTCAAAAGGCTGTCTAAAATATGTCCGGTCTGTAAAAATCCAACCAATCCTGGTGGATTTCCACAATATCTCTGACATGGTTTGGATCCGCAATGATGTTCTTAAAGGAATCAACAAACCACTGTATGTCAATTATAACAGTCTCAGAGAGAATACCTTCCTTAAAAAACAGCACAACACCTATATCGTTGAACAATTTTAAAACATCCCCTAGTTGTGAGTATTTCTCTTTGTTTTCACCAAAACATTTTTTCGACAATTCTGTGACTGAACACATTCTCGTTTTTGTTTTCCTTAGTTCTCTAAAAACAACTTCACACCGTATCCATTCTGTAGGAATGGTTTCTTTCCATCTAGCATCACCTGCTATTAAAGCCATACACGTTTCAAGTTCAGAAAGAGCGTCAGGAATAGACACATCGTTACTTTCAAAGCCGAGGACGAAACACCTCTCTCTATCCAAATGTCTTTTAAGATGCTTGTTGTACTTTATATGATCCAGTATGCTGTTGTACAGTGTGTTAGAGTTCTGCAAATATTTATATTTGTTTAATACTTTTGAATTATGCTTGGATATACATTGTATAATTATTTAGCTTATAAAGTAAAAAAAAAAACAGTCAGTTTATCTTGTACAAACTTTAATTTGAATTATATAATTTCAAATAGGCCTACATGTTTTCTGTTTTTGTCTAGATGAGTTCCAACAATGATGACTGGAGAATCATTGTCACAGTAGGTATGGATGGATCTCAGCCAGAACAGGAGGTAATCTGAAAACATTCAAATGCTACTTGAATTATGCAACATAATGTAAGTCATAAATGCCATAATCATTTCTCAAAAGATGAAATCTGGGAACATTTAAAGCATTCATATTCGAAAAATTCTAATCAATTGGGTTTTTTTTAATTTAAAACTTATATTTTTAAAATTATTTATTCTTTTATGATTCTATATTGCGTTGATCACAAAATATTTCATATAAATAGATTTTGATTGAATACAGTTATTGTTTTAGAATAGACATATGCCTGCATATGTCTTTTTTTTTCTCTTGACTATCAAGCAACAAGTCAAAATTAAAATATTTATCGATGCTCTTTGATTAGTGATGCCAATAGATCGCAGATTTAAAAAAATTTTGAGGAGATTACCATGACTAAGACTCCAGACGAGAACAATATTCACCAGGTATGATTAAATGTCACAAACTCCTTAAACAATCCATGCAATCTTACTTGTTTACATACTGTAAAATCACTATTTTCGAGGGGTCAAATTTTGTGGTTTGAGGAAAATATATTGGTTCATGGGGATTTGATTTCGTGGTGGAAGAATTATTCAGTAGTATTATATGTGAAAAATTGTATTACGTGGTGGACATAATGTCGCGGGAATCTTCATACCTTGAAAACAACGCAAATTTTAAACCCCCACGAAAATGAGTGATTCCACAGTATACAGTGAGAGAATACCTTTTGAACAAGAGGCCCAAGGGCCACATCGCTCACCTGAATATCTTTGCTGATGTAGTTCTTTACCAGATTTCCCCTCTACTTACAACTATTGTGCCCCCTACCACCTCCCAATCCCATCTATATTTTAATAATTTATGATCTACACAACCCCAGGATGCTTCCACTTAAGTTTCAGCTTTCCAGGCCCACTGGTCCTTGAGAAGAAGATTTTTCCAATATATTTCTATATAAAACTATGACTCTCCTTTGTGGCCCCTACCTACCTCCGGGAGTCATGATTTTTACAATTTAGAATCTACACTACCCCAGGATGCTTCCACATAAATTTCAGCTTTTCTGGCCCACTAGTTCTTGAGATAAAGATTTATAAAGATTGTTCCTATATATTTTTATGTAAAACTTGGATTCCCTGTTGTGACCCCTACCTACCCCCGGCGGTCATGATTTTTTAAGATTAAGAATCTACACTATCTCGGGATGCTTCCACATAAGTTTCAGCTTTCCTGACCCACTGGTTCCCGAGAAGAAGATTTTTAAAGACGTTTCCTATATATTTCTATGTAAAACTTGAATTCCCTATTGTGGCCCCTTCCTACCACCTGGGGTCATGATTTTTACATTTAGAATTTACAATACCTCAGGATGCTTCCACATAAGTTTCAGTATTTCTGGCCCAGTGGTTCTTGAGAAAAGGGATTTTTAATAACCCCACCCTATTTTTGTATTTTCTTGATTATCTCCCCTTGGAAGGGGACCTCACCCTTTATTTTAAGAATTTGAATTACCCTTAACCCAAGGATGCTTTGTACCAAGTTTGGTTAAAATTGGCCCAGTGGTTCTTGAGAAGAAGTTGAAAATGTGAAAAGTTAACAGACGGACGGACGGACAGACAAATAGACAGACTGACAGACAGACAGACGGATGGACGACGGAAAATAGGTAATCAGAAAAGCTAACTTGAGCTTTCAGCTCAGGTGATCTAAAAATACATGCCCAGTTTTTTTTAATCTATGCCTAAAATTCCCATTATAGACTGAATAATATGATAAACACGATCAATCAAAGCTTCAACTAGACACTGAAGGACATGGTCGGCAATTTTGATTTCCAGCGATAAATCTTTAAACTGATGATGTCATAATGACTTCAGAAGCATTGTGACGTGATCAGGATTTCAGATTGTTCTTGCAGAATTATCTTACTAAAAAAATTCAAACCTCAGAAATTATATTATACATCAGTATAATAAAATGCTTATCAACTAGTGTCTGTCGCGGGTTTGATAAAAGAGCTGCCCTACTCACACCCAGTGGATAAGTGTATAATATACAATTATAAGAAAATGATGATTGTTTTTACGGTCATTCTTCTCCTTAATTAAGGTCTTCCGTTTCCAACGTTCAGTTTCTTTTTCCCTATTATTATTGTTTTTTCCAACCGATTTTTGTGCACGCAATTTCTCAGAAACGGTTTGGCCGATATATATGTAAAAGATATACAATCGATCTTGATAGGTTTTTTTTTGTTTTTTGCTGACATCACTTCCGGTCGTGAGATATGGGCAATTTTATGATTTTTAGAGGGTCGGCTTGTCCTGGAAACTCCTCTAAAACGACTCTAGATATTGACTGAAAATTTTCAGTGAAAGTAAAGGAAGGTTTGCTGAGTTGCAGGCAGCGTCCAAATCTTTCTAGCGCAAAAGGCACCGAAGTTCGGTGGAGCCCGAGAAATATCTCAGAAAAATCTCACAAATTTGACACCTTTTGTTTCATATCTTCACATCTATTCATAATTTGTTAAAACATATTGAAGAAAAGTTGTGCAGATTTACAAGACATTTACAAGATTTACATTTGATATCAAGAAAAAGGGGCTGATCTTCAATTTGGGACTCAGAGGGGCCAAAAGTCTTCCATTTATATCTTTTTATTGATCAATATTTTGTAATACATCACTGTAGCAAAGATTTTGCAACAATATATTGTAAAATTTTGATCATATGTTACGTAATAAGAGGTCACAAGGGGCCAGAATGCAAAATCTTTGAGGCTTTATATCTCGAAATTGGGGGATATTTTGATAAGCAATATTGAACAAAAGATGGTCAGTATAATGTTTTAAACAATATGCATACTTTCAGATTTTGTAAAATGGCCCTATTGAGACTTATAGGGATGGCGCCCAAATATTTCCATTCCACATATCTCCACAACGAAAAGAAATCTTTGAATAGTTATTGAACAAAAAGTCTTTAAAATCACAAGACCTTTCATTTGATATCAAGAAAAAGGGGCCGACCCTTCAAATTAGGGGCTCAGAGGGACAAAGATTCTTTCATTTATATTTGTTTATTGATCAATATTTTGTAATACATTACTGAAGCAAAGATATTTATCTTAGCGATTTGCAACAATATATTGTAAAATTTTGACCATTTGTTACGTAATAAGGGGTCACAAGGGGCCAGAATGCTAAATCTTTGACGCTTTATGTCTCGAAAATGGGGAATATTTTGATAAGCAATATTGAACAAAGATGGTCAGAATAATGTTCTAAGCAATATGCATACTTTTCGTGTTTTTTGTAAAATGGCCCCGTTAAGAACTTGTAGGGGTGGCCCCTAAATATTTCCATTCCGTATATCTCCATAACGAAAAGAAATCTCTGAATAGGTATTGAACAAAAAGTCTTTGAATTCACAAGACATTTCATTTGAAATCAAGAAAAAGGGGCTGACTCCTCACATTAGGGGCCAAGAGGGGCCAAAAGTCTTTCATCTTTAGCTCTTTAACGATCAATATTTTATTATACATTACTTAAGCAAAAATGTTTATCTTGACAATATGCAACTATATGTTATAAGATTCTGATCATATGTTACGTAAATAGGGACCACAAAGGTTAAGAAAGGTAAATCTTTGAGGCTTTATATCTCGATTTTTTTTTTTTTGTAAACTATATTGAACGAAAGATGGTCAGAATAATGTTTTAAACAATATGCGTACTTTGAATTTTTGTAAAACGGTCCCATTAAAAACGAAAAGAAATCTCTGAATAGGTGTTGAACAAAAAGAATTTAAAAATACAAGACCTTTTATTTGATATCAAGAAAAAGGGACTGACTCCTCAAATTAGGGACTCAGAGGGACCAGAAGTCTTTCATCTTTAACTCTTCAATGATAATTTTTGTATCACTTTATAGAAGCAAAGATATTCATCTTAACGCTTTGCAACATCGTTTTATGAAATTTTGATCATATGTTGCGTAATAAGGGGTTGCACCGGGCCAATATTCTATATTTTGGATGCTTTTACATCTCAAAAAAAAAGGAATATTTTTATTATAAGCCATGTTAAACAAACGATGCTCAAAATATTGGGATATCAGAAAAATTAAATTTAATGGTGGACAACTTAATGTCATTATCTTATTACGAATATCTCAGTCAAAATCACATCTCATCTTATCGAAAAATTCAACGGAAGACCTACTCGTTGCTCGCAACGAGATCGTATCTAATTATTTCTCTTTTTCTTTTGGCATAAATTACAATCATTTAATGCAGCATATATAGTCTAAAATTAAAACGCCTGATATCAGTAGTGGGATATGCAGTACAAAATATGTTTTTAAAGTAATGTAAACTTGAGTAGACGCATTTCCTTAATCAAAATTAAAAACGTTTGAATCACCTCCATATGTCCAGTCAGCAAACATAGTTCCTTCCTGCTCACACACAGACAGGTCCACTCTTTCACAGAAAGTTTTAGATAAGTCTATAACAAGCAGGTAAAAAGCCATTCTGCTAAGATAAACCTGGTGACAGGCGTAGTATGCACATTGCCCACCCAAATCCATAACAGTCAGAAGTTGTTTTCCCTCTTTCTTGGATTTCTTTGTTAAAGCTGTTTTGAGAAAATGTATAAAAGTAAGCGTCATCTGAATTTCACGATTTCTTTTCTATATCTTTTGTTCATTTTTTTCTTAAAATGTCCTTTGTAAAACACGTTTCCCAACATCTAGTCTAAAGAGAACTATTCGTCGATAGATAATTCGAGTATATTCGTCATTCATTGTTCTGTAGTCGGAAAACAGTTCTTCAAAAGAACTACTGTTTTTATTGATGTACCCCACTTTAAATAAATATTATCTTATCTTATTATCTTATAATATTAAGGTTAGACAGCTTGTGTGTCAAATATAATAGAAATCATACCAAAACTGTAGTATATGTAAGATCATGAAAGAATTTTACAGATTTTCTGTTTTTAAAACCTTTGGAACATTTCTACCAGAAATGAAAAAATAGAATTATGCCTATATGCAGTTAGCTTTTGTACCCTATCACCGAGCTTTTTTTTTTTTTTTAAAGGAATATAAGAGGCGTTCAGCATGTTTAGTTTTGAAAGAATTAACAAAAATTTAAAAATTATCTTTAAAAAAAAAATACATTTGAATAATGAACCCATTATTTCTAAAAACAAATGTAACGTAATTTATACCTTTCAAAATGCGGGAATCTTGCTCGATTTCAAACATGTCCTCGTGAACTTCTAAACCTACTGTTGATTGAACCTGCTTTAATTCTTCCTGACTGAGTTTTTGTAGACGCTTCATCAAAGTCGTTTTTCCTGCACCAGCACAACCAACTATCATCGCTCGCGCTCTATGTATTCTTTGCCTATCTTTCTTGAAACAATGTACGTATCTTTTTCGCGCTTCATCTTCCCAAAATAGAATCTCCAATGGAACATTCACTGAAAATATAGGTCTACGGTGCTTTAAGTACATTTAAAGTATACAGTGACAATTTCAGAAATAGGTTTTTTTACCCGAGTTTTAAACACGTTTAAAAATTTTGGGAAAAAAGTACGTTAACAGTATCAGATTGATTTGAATACTTACAATATTTCGATATTTTGTCTCTAAATTGAACAAGACTATGACGATATTTCCTAGACAATAACCAATCCGTTTTTATCCGTGTTTTAATTTTGTGTCAATATTAGAGCGATCGATTGGGGGTAATTTTACCGACCAATCAGAAGAGACACTAAATGTATATTCTACGTCACTTCTTGTTTTGATTCAATCGCAGTAAGAAGGGTTTTCCAAGTGTTGCCCACCATCCACCCCGATCATTATTCCACCTTTATTCCATACTGCTAAATTAATATGCAATGTAAAGAGTTAATGGATAAAAATGTTTAAAAATACATATATGTTTATATATTTTAATATGATTTTATTTTGGCAGTTGTTTATCTGCCAAGGCAGTTTTTGTCTGCCACCTTTTTTGCTGATTGCTATTTTTTGCATTCTGGATTGTTTATTTGGATTTTCTTCATGTAATATGTTACACTGGGGAGATCAACTAATGTTTTGTACAAATTTACACATTTTTTCAAGAGTGATCTCCCCTTTATCTGATGTATCTTTTCATTATCTGTCGTCATTTATACATGTATAATAAATGACAAATTCATCCATCAAACTTTGTGTTTGCGTTACTTTAATATGGATGTGATATGGTCTACATAAATTTAGAAGTGTGTGCAAAAAACTAGCTTCAGTGAACTTGTAAAATTAGTTAAATTACACTGGAGAACATAAAACAAGTCTTGATGACGGACTTCATTAGATAAAAATTTCACACTCTCCTTATCTTTGTCTTCCTTGAGAACAAAATCTTTGCTCAAAAATTCTCCCATAGCTTCATTTTCTTCGTTTGTATCATCGTCTTGTAATGTTGAGAAAGCGTTTCGAATTTCCTCAAGTTTTTCTTTCCAGTTTGTGTATATACACAGACAATAATCAGTTGACAAAAGGATAGAGATAAGTATGCTCCATTTCTTTATTGACAGATGAAGAGATTTCAGATCTAAAGTAAAAATTGAAATAGATATAGAAATCAGACAAATGATTCTTCATTATTGACATTCTGAGAATATAAACAATTATAACAATTACGGTACCGGTAAATTTTAAAATATTATATCTAACTTTTCTAACGAATTCTACGTATGTACAATGGCCGATATGTATATATTCCGACTGCTTTTGATATTTGTACATCTAAAATGTACATTAGAATGACTGTATATTTTGCACTACACATCGTGCTCTTAACTTTTGTCTGTACATGTACAAAATGGCAAAAGGGCAAATGTCAAAATGTGGACACTTGACGCAATATTCTTTTGATTAAAATTCCCAATCAGCAAATACCATTAAATATGAATAAAAATATACAATAATGTGAGAAGATATTAGAGGAAAATGTACCGAACCTAATATTTTAAATAGGGATGTCAACGAATATTCGAATATTCATTCGGTGAGTTGATATTCGAATATAAATTCATGATTCGAATATTCGCTTTTAAGCATTAAAAAGAGAGAAAAACCTGGCAAATTTTATTATAAATTGAATCAAGTTTGTACAAAGTTAAAAGACACTCCACTTGGATTACTTTAAAGGTGTGAATAGCGTATCTATTAAAGTAATTCATTCATTTGTTCACCTAATTGGTGGTATAATAGTGCCAAGTACTTACAATCAGCTTGTATTGTCGTAAGGACACAGTTTTACAGTAAACACGTGGATCCCTTGTTTATGTAGATATCATTATTATAAATTATCAGGAAATTAATTAGCAAAAATTTATAACTTTTATTTTTTCTCCATTAGATAATTGTTCTGCTCGGTAAAAATTTATAGGAGTTATAAGTGTTGACTTTATTCAGAGTTCAATTAATCTGAAACATACTAAAAGAATCTTTTGAATTAAAAAAAAATCCATGACATATTTTATGTATACATGTACTCTTCATATAATAGATAATTAGAAATATATATATAATTGCGGTGCATATACCGAACTCAACATGAGTTTTTATTCCAAAATAATTGACATCCCTATTTTTTTAAACGAAAACTCAAAACACAGAGTTGTGTTCAATACTACTTTTTCACAGATGGATTGATCCGTCTAGTTTAAAGTCATCATTTCGTATTCTCTGGTCGATACAATGACCTTATCAGGTAATACAATTTATCATTAAATCAAATACTGACTGGCGTTTTTCATACCAATTGTTAGTCCATTATTTATAATCCCTCTCCTTTATTTTCCAATCATGTCTAGGAACACATGGCGGGTGTGACCAGTCGGCAGAGGAAGCTCACTCCTCCATGGCACCTGATCCTTTTTTTATGTTTTAGAAGTCAGTCTGTGTTTGCTCTGCTCCTATTTAGTATTGTTTTATGGACTTTTGATCTTATTTACTGTTCGTATCTTCATATGTTTCACTGATAAAAATACTCACGAAATATGTGATTATTATATAAAAACGTATTGAACATGTTTAAGTTTTTATGAAATGAATGGTTTTTCTATGAAATGTGAAAGTTAAAATAAACGTATTAATGAAAAGAAAAAAAAGTTTTAAAACTATTAAGTAAATATGATTCGAAGTAAATGTTAATCTTATAACTTCCAAGGTCATAATCTTACATAATCGTTTGACATGTTTGTGGCAGTTTTCTTATACGTTTGATTCAAAGAAAGATGTATCTGTACTAGTATTTGTAAACTTGCACATTTTCCATACACAAGAAATCCAGATTTTCAGGGATTTAAACATTTTCTTTGAATATTTTTCAGCCTGTTTTACTGTAATAAATGTACTCCTTTCAGTGTTTTGTGCTACTTTATTCATATTTAAAGGTGCAAAATGTACATGTCAATATTACGGAAGCGTATTAGTGCCACTTGCACACTTCACTTTTTTTTAATTTCTACACTTTAATCTGTAAATTTTACACTTTAATCTGTAAATTTTTCACTTTAATCTGTAAAATTTAGACTTTAATCTGTAAATTTTACACTTTAATCTGTAAAATTTACACTTTAATCTGTAAATTTTACACTTTAATCTGTAAATTTTACACATTAATCTGTAAAATTTACACTTTAAAGTGTAATATTTACAGATTAAAGTGTCGAAATTAAAAAAAGTAAAGTGTGCAAGTAGCACTAATACGCTTCCGTACAATATACATCTGTATCTTTTAGGTGTATAATTATCAAAACAGCCGGAATATGTACAGACTAATATCGGCCATAGTTCTTATGACATTCGAGGACAACAAAATAATATTATAAGCAATATTACAATACGTTTACAACGGTATTAATTAATTTCTAACTTTTAAACAAATCTACATGTAATTACCTTTTATCATGTCTGTAGTTTCTTCAATTAAAAACGACCCAAGTAAGCTGTTAAAGCTTAGCTCTCCCGCAGGAAGTGGGTCTTTTTCCACGGAGGTTTTAACATATCTGTGAAATCTGATTCTAGTACGATGATCTAAGTTTCCTACATTGTCGGGTATCTTAACTGTAATGATAGGTTTGTTTGGCATATTAAGAATACTCAGTAAATAAATTATCTAGTAAAAATACAAAAAAAAACAAAACAAAAAACTCAATAATAACAACATGAACAAGGAAAAAACTCAATAATAACAAGAAAAAGGCAACGATACTTAATTTTACTTAAGCGAATTATTACTGAGTATGAAAAGTGTTCATCGGGTTATTTGATAGTTCGATAAATCAATCTTTAAAGTAAAATGATGATCAATTAAATAAGGCTCGAGTCAGATTTTACCGAGCGGCATGATATATAACTCACGCTTTCTGCACACTGCTTTACTTTCACTTTGGAACGTCTCATGGACAATGACATTGATCCCGAGTCTTCCTATCAAAAGATTCCCAGGTACGTACAAGCAACATTTTCCTTCTTTCCCATAGTGCTGCCGAACATTAACATACTCAAAAAGTGAGTCCATCGATGAAAGCTCAACGTAACTCTTTACATCCCGTCGCGTTTTTATACAATCAAGAACAAAATTACACATAACCTGATGGCGCACATCTTCTGAAACAAACTCAAAGGTTCTATTGTTTGTTTTTGATGTTAACAATTTGTCAATATCAACCAGTTCTTGAACAAGAAGCAAATAATCCTCCTTTTTTTACTACACAAGAAACATTTAATGCAAAGAATTTTTCTTGAATTTTTCGAATTTTCTCTTCCCATGCTGTGTTCACACAAATGCTATAATTGTCCGACATCAAGACAGAAAACAATATGCTCCATTTTTTGGTTGTTAGAGAATTATCAATTTCTGTAACATAATTCAGGACACAATTTTCAAACATGGATATAAACTGTTGGAAAATATTGTATTTGTTACATTTCATATTGCAGACTTTAGTTTCAAGAAATAAAAAAAAAACACGAACAAAAGTCTCGTTGTTTAATCTTAAAATGCCTGAAGGAATTTAATTAAAATTTACCTCGTATATGATAAAGACAATAAAGAAAAAAAGAATATAAAATACAATGTACAAACCATTGTGAAATCTTGAGAGGAATGTATACACTAAACGAATTCTTATAAAAACTTCATCAGATATTCCATCTGCCCAGGCAAAAGGCTCCAAGTTCCTTTTAATGCACCACATTTGAATAAACTTTTGAAACTTTTCCATTTCGCCAACTCCTCTGAAGTGTCTACAAACTAGACAGAGCATTTATGATTAACCTATTGAAATGTTTTCTCAAGACGGACGAAGAAAATTGATTCAAATAGATTCTGGCTTATATATTTTCCAAATACTTTATAGCTGGATTTTTGTTATGATTAAATAATGAAAAGGCGGTCTTTGTAAACTTAGAATTTGCTGACAGGTTAATGAAGTAGTTGAATTAATGGTCTCTACAAAGCAGAAAGTTAAAAAAAGTTAAAAAAAAACATATTAAGTTGTTCAAAGTTATCTTGAAAGCAGTTTTTTTAAGTATCTGCAATCTGAGAAATAACAAAACAGCACAATGGCTGTAGGACATGGTCTAATATAATTGTTTTTCCTTTGAAGAGTGGGTTGGCTGAAGGTAGTCGTATTTTAAACCATTTTTCTTCATATGAGAATGAAATATCTTACAACACTTTGGATGAGAATAGGTTTCGTTCATCAAAACGATACTCGGCCCCTTGCTACGGAATTTCAGATGTGGCGAATTCTAGTCAAAGCAGTGGAGGAAAGAGTTACACGATAAGTAATTTTCGGGAATCAAAAAAGTTCAATAAACGTTTTGATGTGAAGTAAATCTAGAGAAGCCCATAGACTACAAGGCTCACCTAGGAAACTTTGGTCATGATGTTATTCGCTAGATTTTCTTTTCTCCAATACTTCAAGAGTCCAAAACCTAGCATGATTTGGTTGAATGTTGTTTAATGTCCCTCTCGAGAATCTTTCATTCATATAGAGACACCACCACTTCCCAGTGGAGAGCTGCAAATTTTGTCCTATACTCGGCACTCAGGACCAAAGAACAGGGAGGGATCTTTTTCGTATCAGCACCTACTGCGACACGAGACCTCGCTTTATACACTCTCATCCAAAGGACCGGTCCCAACGTCCCTCAGTGAAGTTCCAACCCGCGACGTAAACATAAACTCCTTTTCCCACGACTTTAGAGCAGACGCTCTAACCACTGCTCCACGTACACGGGCAACAGCGTGATTTGAAATTTTCACTACCCAAGGATGCTTCCACCTAAGTTTCAGCTTTTCTGACCCAGTTGGAAGATTTTCAAAGATTGGTTTCTATATATTTCAATGTAATCATTTCGATTTTTTTATTTTGGACCCATTAAACTCCCGAGGGACATGGTTTGAACAATTTAAAGTTTACACTTTACACACAGGATGCTTCAAAATAAGGTTATGGTTCAGTAGTTCTAAAGAAGTAGGATTTCAAAGACCTTTAATTTATTTTTCAATTTGAAACTTGGGCCCCATCTTTCGCCTGCGGCCATGTTTTAAGCAATTTAAAATCAATATTACACCCAGGATGCTTTCACATAATTTACAGCTTTTCTGACCTTTCTTAGGAAAATAATTTAGATGTTTTGTTTTTCTATACTGCGTATATTTCAATGTAAAACATCGATTTTCTATTTTGACCCAAAATCTACCCACGGGTGTCATTATTTTGAACAATTCCACACAAGTTCAGATTTTTCTTGCCAAGTGGTTCTTGAGAAGAATTTTTAGAGATCCCACCCTATTTTTGTCTTTTCTTGATCATCATTTCTTGTAAGGGGACTTGTTTCTTCATTTTTCAATGATTTTCAAAGATTTTTTCAACATATTACATGTATCTGATCTCCCATTGTGACCCCCACGGAATATTTAAAGATGCTTACCCGTCTATTTGACTAAACAAAACTTTTCTGTTCTGGAAAAGATTTGTTTCCTTTATATTCTTATGTAAGGAATAGGTGTATATCGAAAGCATGCTCTACGTATGAACAATTTCTAAAACGAGGTTAATTATTGACAAGCAAGTTGATGAAACAAGAATATCAACAGTCTCGTTTAAAGTCATCATTTCGTAAGTTCTATGGTCGATACAATGACCTTGTCAGCAAATACAATTTATCATTGAGTCAATTGCTGACTGACGTTTTTCATACCAATTGTTAGTCCATTATTTACACACTGATTTGACGACGTTTTTTCCAGTTATTTCACGACCATGACCATGAGCACACGGCGGATGTGACCGGTCAGCAGGGGATGCTCGCTCCTCCATGGCACCTGATCCCACCTCTGATGTTTTGTAGGTCCGTGTTTGTTCTGCTCCTATTTTGTATTGTTGTGTGGACTTTGATATTGAATACTGTTCGTTATCTCCATATCCTTATTTTCGTAAAACTCTGATCAGCCATTGTGGCCCTGCCCTACCCCCGTGTATAATCATTTGAAGAAACTTGAATCTACACTACCTGAGGATGCTTCCACATGAGTTTCATCTTTTGTGGCCCAATGGTTCTTGAGAAGAAGATTTTTAAAAGATGGCATCTTATAGCAAAGTTTTCAGCTCAGTTAAGCAAAACATGTGTGTACCTTTCAGATAAACTATTTCTCGTGAGTGATCCTGCATCGTCCTTCTCATATATGGAATTCGACTGGTGTCTGTCAGACGTCCAGATTGACTAGAGTAATTAAGATACACATCTGTATAGGACAACAGAGAATAAGGGGTGGCAACCTCTAGAAAGAAGTCTTTGTCTATGTCATTCACAATGCAGTTCTTCTTGTAGGACCTTGTTACTCGCTGCAGATTGTCCCCCTTTAAATCCATAAGTCCTTTCTTTCGAAGTTCATTCATTGTCTTCATTACATTAATATTTCCCATTGTGTCCTCATATTCTGCATCATCACTAAATCCATCTTCACCAAGACACAAATAAAGCGTGTAAAGAACAACCCGTTGATTTTTGGTTAAACCGAGAAATGGATCTGTAGGAAAACATACATCTGTGCAATAAATTAGATTTAACACCAGTAAAATAAAAGTGAGTAAAAAACATTATCTTCTTCATTCTACAATATCATAACTAATTGTACATGATGAAAACACCATAAAAGATGCTTCTGTTCCAGGCAATATTGAAAAGTAGACCATCAACCTAACGCAACAAACGTCCTGTGTATTTTACAAAAAAAGACCAACCTTCAAAATCATGAACATCATCATAAATGTCCTGATCAACCTTCCTTTCAGCCATCAGATCCATTTGTTTGAAATCGGACTTACTGAGGGCAGCCTTTATATATCTGTAAGAATGTAAAATTTTAAGATATTTTATTTTCTAATAAGTTTGCTACTTTGCAAACTATACGAACAAAGTTTTTTTTTAAAATGGTCTATTCTTATCCAATCTTATTCGTATCCAATTCTTATCTTATTCAATATTCTTCTCATTGTTTTTTTTTTCATATGTATATGAATTCTATAAATCTACTAAGATATTTATTCAGCTTGCCTTAAATATTATTTTATTATAATATAGTATACAACAGAGTATTTGTTTTAAATATAAAAACATCTGTACGATTCATGAACAGTAAATAAAGTAAACATAATTGCAAAATTCCATTTGGTGACATGAACTTCTGTTGATTATTTAATAAGGATAAAAACTAGGTATTTAACTCTCCCCTTTATTGTGTTTTAATTCTTAACGATTGCTCGCCTTTTCTATTTTCAAAATACTCATAACCCTTACAAACCATGAGAAATCTTGCATTCTCTCAACTATGTTTATCCTTAAACATAAAATCTTGCATAGTATTCATTCCGGAATATAATATTTAGAAAGCTATAATGATACCATGAACGATATATTTTTAAAGAAGCAAATATTTTTTTATGATTCAAGCATACCTGTATTCTGATTTGTTACTGGATAAGTGACGTTATTACAGTCGTTATAGGTATTGCACACAGGTGACACAAAGGAAAATAGAACTTTATTCAGAATATAAATGCGTTCTTCTTAAATTATATACCTTATTCAAAATAAATACTTGTAGAGAATATTTCCTCTATTAACTTAACTTTTCAGCGGTACTGTTCAGTTTTTGCTGTAAGTAAGAAATATAAAGCAAACAAGAGTAGTGGCTTAATTGTGTCATTGAGGCTTCCTGTGGGAAAATTAAAGACAGAAAAATGAAGAAAATTGTATATTCCCTTTGCATTGCTCTCTATGGAAAGACTTTTCATAACATAAAGCAGAAAAAAAATTACAATGCAAGGAAACCTCACAATTTTTTAATAGACTTTAACTACATGTATAGCAAAAAAGTTAATTCTAAAGATATATATCAACCTTCAGCATCGTGAACATCATCACAGGCATCTTCATCAATCTCACTCTCAGTCATCATCTTCATTCGTGTGAAAATAGGACTGAGGGCAGGCACCATAAATCTGTAAGGATTTAAAAGGTTTCAGAAATTATATGTTTCATAAAACCCTGGTGCATGCTATGCTTTCAAACTTTACAAATATATGTTTGGTTTTTTTTGTTTTTTTTTAAATACAAATGCAATGACTGATAAGGTCTATTTCATTCAATATTTTTACCAATGTCATTTTTTCACATGTATATGAAATCATTACATATTTAAATATATTTTATAAAGTATACAATGTATTTTTATTGTGAAATTAGAAACATCTGTACACTTTGTGAACAGCAAATTCATAAACTGTACACAACTGCATAATTTTACATTTGGTGAATGGACGTTTTGAATGTATAATAAACCAATAAAGGCAAAGAATATCTTTTGCTGAGTATCCATCTACATCCCCATTCATTGTGTTTAAATCTAACTGAGTGTTTACCCTCTGATACCCATTTTTCTGACAAACCTGTTAATTAATATTTTAACAAAAAATCTTGGATAGTATTCAAACATTAATTTCGGAATACAATCTTTAGAATACCATAGAATACTTTGAAGTATTTTTTAAATAAATAATCGAATGATTTCTTGTCATGAATTTAACATACCTGTACTTTGTTTTGTTACCCTCGAACTGGCGCCATCATAGCCGTTAAGGGTACACGTGCTAGTATTACACAGAGGTGACTCAGAGGAAAATCGTATTGCAGAATAAAAATGCTTTCTTTTTACTATAAATTGTTTATTTGATTCAAAATAAATATGTAGATTACATTTTCTCTAGCTTCACTAATTTTTGTTTCAGTGGTACTATAGTTTTTGCTCCAAGTGAAAAATACAAAACGAAAATAGAGTAATGGTTTTACTATGTGGCTGAGGCTTCCTATGGGGAAAGACAGAAATAAAAAAAAAATACATCCCCCTGAAATGCTCTGCTAATACACATGTATTTTTTTTATAACGTACAGCAGAAAAATGTACAATGAAAGGACACGCCTCTAGTATTTTTTCCTCATTTTTTGTATACAAATGTACATATTTAGATATACATGTATAATTGATACAAGCTACATGTATATGTATGTACTTTGAATAATCAAATAATGACTAGTATCAAAGATATAATCAAACTCACAATCTAACTGAGTTAAAATTAATTAACTAAAAATCATATTGAGGAGTAAATTTTTCCCTATATTTGTGCACAAAAAAGTTATTTTTCTATAAAAACATAAAAACTGAAAATTACATCACGAATCAATTCCCCTTTTTAGATAAAACGCTCGCTAAAAGAGAAAAAAATTAAGAATTCCAATATTGTTGTGAATCAGGTATATTTCCACTTATATTTGAAAGGAAAAAGAAAATTTTGAAATACTGGGTGAAATTAAAAAACAGTGATAATTGTATATTACAAACATGTTATCAAGATATAGTTGAAAATAATGATGAATGGATTGTACACATTAAGAAGGAATTCCAAAGGCTTGGTTTAGCTGACATGTATAATAGTGATTGTATTGATAATGATACTCTGAACATTAATTTCAAAGAATGTATGACTGTTATAAACAAGAAATTATGGCAAGAATTTGTAATTCTCCTAAATATTTTCTATTTCAACATTTAGTGGATAATGTTGCACTACAGACTTATTTAAGAAAACCATTGCATTCTAAGTATAGAATACCTATCAGTCGTTAAAGGCTATCAGATTCATGATTTAAGAATAGAAAGGGGAAGGTATAGTAATATAGAAAGGAAAGATAGAAAATGTGAAATATGTATGTCAGGTGAGATAGAGGACGAATTTCATTTTGTATTAAAATGTCCTCGATATGAAGAACTTAGAATTAAATATAGTAAGAGTTATTATTTTAAAAAACCATCAGTATTTAAATTAGTACAGCTTCTGAGTTCTACAAATACTAAAGAACTATGTAACCTGAGCAAATTTTTGTTCTTTTCTCATCAATTAAGAAATGATGTTCTAAATAATAATTAAATGATATTGTTATGTAATTAACACATGTATATTGTATAGCCTGTACAAATTTTATGTATGAATATTGTATACCTATGAGATATAATGTCTCCGGTTCAAATAAAAATACAAAATATACAAATAAAATGTGCAGCAATTATGCATATTTTACAACTACATTATTGTATCATTTGTATTTTTAGGCTGCCTGAGTCACTCTGGTGACCTATTGCTATCCGTTTTCGTCCGTCGTCGTGCGTCGTTTATTAACATTTTAACATTTTCAGTTTCTCCTCTGAAACTGCTGAACCAATTTCAGCCAATTTTAGTAAAGGCATCTCTTTCAAAATTGAAAATGCCATGTTGTCTAGTTCAAAACATGAACCAAATTCAATCATTGAAAAGTTGTTGCATGATCAGGTGACCTATAAGGCTCGTGGGCCTCTTGTTTTCAATGATGTTTTATTTTGCAAATACATGTAAAAATTATTATTATTCTTTCTTCTGCATAACATTCTTTGCTAAAATCCTTACTTCTTTCTTTCTTCCGATGACGGTTCACTCCAACATCCCATTTATTCTTCCCTTATCAGCAGAATGTTCCGAGTAAAGCCACATTGCTTGCACTTTTCTAATATAAAATCACATCGTCTACCTTCACGGTAGATCAGTCAGTAGAGTGCTCACTCCTTGATCTGGAGGTCGTGATTTTGAATCCCGGCCACGGGTCATCCAGTTCGATAAAAAATTGAACCTTCTCCATGCACTGGGCACTTTGAAGTGAAAGTTGTCGATCTTTCGGGTGAGACTTTAAAAATCGATCGCGGTCTTGTGTCACGACAGGCGCTGGCACGATAAAGAGCCCTCACTGTTCAATTGCCCTGAGTGCTGAGAAAAGGTCAAAATTTGAAGCCCGTCATCGGTATATTGGGATGTTTCTATATGAGTGAAAATTATCGAATGGGACAGAAAACATCATTCAATCAATCATCTAGTAATTGAAAAGGCATCATATGTTTTAGTTTGAAAGAGGCAAATGCACAGTGACGTTGATAAATCAGAGGAATATAATACGTTTTATGTAAAGTGTCGCCTGACGAAAAAACAACTACGCGTTGGCAGATTTATTGTAATGCTTGACGCTGGCTTTTCCCAACGTGACGTTGTAAATGCATAAAACGTTAGTCAGAGTGTTGTAAACAGGGCATGAAACCGACAGTAAACTGTTGGTACAGCAGCACACCGACATGGGGGTGGTCGTCAGAGGTCGACAACCCAACGCAAAGACATATTGTGGCTCTTCAGGCACGATGATCAATTCTGGACAGCAACCAGCCTACGTAACGACTTCTTGAACGCCTTGGGGGTGAATGTGTCCACTCAGACAATACGGAATTGGATTAACAATGCAATTCTCAAAGTGAGAAGAGTGATTGGACTGGGCTGAGGACACGGAACGATTGGGTTCCAGTTCTGTTTACCGATGAGTCAAGGTATTGTTTGGACATTACAAACATGAGGCACCGATTGTAGCGACATGAACGTTTGCCTGATACCAAAATCAGCAAACATGACAGTTACGGTGATGGTTCCATCATGTTCTGGGGTGGAATCAACAGGGAGTTAAGAACAGATCGTCACGTCCTTTTGGTGTTATTATAAGATTAAATTTCAAGCATTTCCTTATTACCGAAGCAAAAAAAGTTCTTGTCATTCATGACACATATAACCTAGTGATCCTTATTAAATTTTGAGCAGTATATTAAACAAGAGGCCCACGGGTCTTATAGGTCACCTGAGTATCGTGTAACAACTTTCAAATATTAAAATTGGTTCGTGTTTTACCCCCAAAGGCCATGAAATTCACAATTCACAATTTTGAAAGAGGCACCATTGCTTATCATAATTATAAACTTAGCATGCTTACTTTATTTACTTAATACCCAGAGGTAGATCAGAGTAACAAAGAGAAAATGCACTTCCACTTTATAACCAGTTGTTACCACCCCCCCCCCCGACCCAAGGGGCATAAAAAATAACGATTTTGCTAGATGCACCTTTCTTCATCACAAATATATATGTACTTGGATCATTGGCATAAAACCCAAGAGCAAAGGAATAGATTTTCAAAGAATTAATGCATTTTCACTGTATAATCAATAGAGCCCCGCCCTAATACCAGAAACCCTGACCCTGGGGCCATAAAACTCACAATTTTGGAAGAGGCACTCTTTCTCATCATAACTGTGTACTTACTTAGTTTATTTAATACCCAGAAGCAGAGAAGATTTTCAAAGAATTAATGCATTTTCACTATATGATCAATAGAGCCCCGCCCTAACACCAGAACCCCTGACCCTGGGGCCATAAAATTCACAAATTTGAAAGTGGCACTCTTGCTCATCATAACTATGTGCTTAGTTAGTTTATTTAATACCCAGGAGTAGAGAAGAAGATTTTCAAAGAAATAATGCATTTTCACGATATGATCAATAGAGCCCCGCCCTAGCACAAGAACCCCTGACCCTGGGGCCATGAATTTCACAATTTTGGTAGAGGACTCAATGTTTATTACATTCATGCCAACAGTTTGACTGCTTGATGTCCAGGAGTAAAGAAGAAGATTTTTAAAGATTGCAATAATTTTGGTGGTTTTGGCCCCATCCCTCACGCCCCAGGGGGGCGGGGACCATAAAAATCACAGTTGTTGTTTCCCTTCATCCATACATGCTGTATACCAAATATGGTTGATATTGGTTCAGTGGTTTCAGAGAAGAAGCTGAAATTGTTCAAATGTTAACATTCGACGCACGACACACGACGGACGACGCACGACGATGGACGAAAACGGATAGCAATAGGTCACCTGAGTTACTCAGGTGACCAAAAAATGGGCCTATACTAGTGTGTAGATAAAATGTCCTATGGGAAGCTGAAAATTGCTGCTTTTAATATCATGCAGTTATGCGATTCCTCAGGTCTACAATAAAAAATTGTTTGTTTGCAGTTGCCTACCCACTCAAACATTTTTTTTATCCATTTAGTAAATCATTTTTTTCTCAATTTTTCAGGATATTGAAACTATTTCATTTTCAATTTTTGACTTCTGTTTTTATCAATCAGTGGTTTATAACAATAGTCAAATAATGGAGCTTATTCATATATAGTAGGCCTATAAAAAGCTCTGTTATTGTTATCTATATAACAAAAATCTGAGAAGAAGAATGCCCTTACCTACCTACCCGTCTAAAAATTATAGGTCGGCAACTGCAAACGAAGAATTTTTTAAGCTTGGCCTCAGGTCCAAATAAGATGAAATTAGTAAAAATATGGATTTTTACCGAACTTTTAACATGCATGCAGGGCAATATACATTGTAGAAAGACAAAAAGCTTAACCAACTAACTTCAGTAAAGCAAACAAAATATGAGAAAGAAATACAAAAAAATTACAAATTATTAACTTTGGTTCTTTATATAAGGTGAGAATTTTATTTGTAGTTATGTTTATTATGCTTATCATTATTGTCATATTTTTTTCGTAAGCATTATTGTCATTGTGTAATCATTTACATGCATAATAATACGGTACTTATTTTCACTTTGAATTAACTCTGAATCTTTAATGTGTCTTTGAAATATTCTTTATATATTACATGTT